GCGCAAAAAGAAGTCGCTAACTTAGTTGAACAGAAGCGAGAAGCTGTACGAACCGCATTTTCCAGCTTTTGTATGATCCCTGATGATCCCCAGCGCTTTTCTTTAAAGTCATTTTTCTTTTTCCGAAGTTAACGAAAAACCTCCAGAGTTGTGCAGATTACTAAACCGACAGTGCTAAGCTGTTGCTGATAAGAACAAATGGTGTTTTAAAAACATAAAAAGTTTCGATGATCCACAGGTCGAAATTTGAGGTTCACCGAAAAATTCGACTTTACAAAAACTCATTTGTTCTCATCAGCAACATGCTTAGCACTGTTGCGTTAGATTTTAGTATAACTTTGGAAGGTTTTCGTAAAAGCGCCGGGGATCATCAGGGATCATACAAAAGCTGAATAATGCGGTTCGTACAGCTTCTCGCTCCTGTTCAACATATTCATAGTGAAGGGTAGTAGGAATACTTACGGATAGGTACACAACGTGAAATTCAGATATCTGGAGTTTCGAAATATAAAGCTTTCTTTTAAGCTGCGATCCCCTCCCTAATGGGGATGTTAGTGCATGCGGCCCTTAGCTGTTACGTATCCCAATATTTTCGCAGTATTTCACCTGTATTTTACATTTGCATAGGTAAGGAAAAACGATTATATCTTGCTCTTGACTTAACGTTTTCATACGAAATTTCTGTTATGTATTCTGCTATGTAGAGAGGAAAGTCAAGCAGTAACAACGATACAAAAAACGCAGCAATTGATCTATTTGAGGGTAAGTTAATGGGGTGTGGCATCATTTCTAAACCTGTGGCAGCCACAGCTTTTTTGGGGTGGTGCCACACCCCATTAACTTTAATAAAAAAAACATTTTTAGCGAACGTTATTTGTATGAATCGGAAACCTAGACCTCGTAGATTTCATAGGAGTGATTTGAGCCTGATTCGTCTTTTTAGCTCTGAGGCTTCTAATCCCAAAGTTAGAAGGTTTTTTGAAGCGAGATTTCTGAAGTGGCCAAAAAAGGAAAGTGCTCTGTTTTGAGTGCAAAAACAGCTAGCTACTTCACTTTTGAAACAACGTTGATCATGCTGGAAAATGGCGACTTCACTTAGGTGGCCCTGTATCATAAAACTTCAGAATTCGCTCAAACATTGTCTACAGGGGTTAATTGACATGAATTATGGATTATTATGTTGCGCGTTATTGACAGGGCCTTCAAGCAATGCTATCTTAGCTATATAGTTCAGGGAGTCTTATTGGGACAGCAATAAGAGGAGGGGGGGGGGTCGTAACCAGCGATTGTGTGCCATCACACCTCTTGCTTGACCCTGATTATTCTTCGTCTCAGCTAGTCAACGGATTTAAAGAGACGACTACCACTTAGCTTTTCCAACAAATTGCGGCTGAATACATTTTAACCTTTCCATACATATGGAATTAATTTACGAACAACTTTGACGAAAATTCTTAGGAGAAGCCTCCAGAACTTGCGCTTCTCCCGTAATTGACAGTATCTGAGAGGATGACATTCACATAAGATTAACCTCAGTCGCAACTGAACATTGCTGCCTCAGGGCCCGGCACGAGTCGGTTTCTAGGGTTTCTGAAAACGAAGTCTCGCCTGACTTTTGGAAGTTCTACGAAGTCCTTTTGGCCAACCTGCTTAGGAGAAGATGAAAACAAGAAAGATTCACTAGTCTGAAAGAAAAACGTAAGATAAGAGTGAGTGAGAATTCAAGTTGGAGTTGAATACTAGCATAAGACTTTGACATTAGAGCGCGATATTTAACAAAGCGAGAAGAAATGAAGACAGAAACAAAGGAAAGGCAATGATCCTCGATGCATGTAGTCTTCAGAAACCGCCAAAGCAAATTCACTCGACAGTTCCTGTGCATCCACAACCTCACAGTAACACAGTAAACAGGCGAAAAAGCTTCGCAATGTGGAACGAAGTTTGAAACTGTGCTGCCTCTTGCATACGTTGACAGTAGTACATGTCATCACCCAAAAATCCGGAAGCTTTCGCAGCGTTCAAGAATGTTGTGTAGGTATGCCCATCAACTGTGCGAAGCTCTTCGAATGAAGTCTTTGCTCTAATATTCAACAAAAGAATCCGCAAGCAATGGCGCTCCACATCTCTTGGTGAAACCGTGTTCATTCTTACAATCTGTTTACCTCCTCTTCTTCGCGGTTTCCATCCGTGCATGCAATGAACGTAAAGTGTTCTGGAATTTCATAGTAGTAAAGATTCCGCGCACCAGTACCTAGTTTAGAAGACACTCCATTGTCAAACGTCCTTGCACACTGTGCATCCAGCTCGAAAAAATTGCGAGTGTTATGAAGTTATTGCGTGCGCGATAAAAGTATTACTGTTCCTCCCCAGCAAGTTTGATGTGTGCGGTTTAATGACCTGGCAAATGAACAGTTAATTCAAACACCGTATGCGACGTGCCCTGCATGGGTAGTCCGAAAACTCGGTAAAGAGCTTGTGGTAGACAGACGTAGCGTCTGTTTTGATGTTGTTTGATCTCTTCCACAATAGCATGTTCATTCTTGTTCATTCTTCATTGTTCCTTATTTTCAATTGTGATTCGTGCACGGTCGGCCCTTTATGAATATACTTGTAGAGATATTTCACGGCCGAAATTGTCCCACAAATCTCGACATTCGAATGACACTCGTACTCCGCAATTAGAAACAAATTCGTCGGTACTACCCACTCGTCGCTGTACGGAACGCTACTGATCAAGACGTTTGTGCGATTCCTCCTTCGGTACTTTGGGGTAATCGTCCACTTCCATTGACTCCCCTCAGCTGTTTCGAAACTTATTGTTAGAGCATTTTCCGTCACGCTTACACGGTAAAAGAGGGTCTTCCAGGCCACTTTCGATGGATCATGTAGGCAGTGAATGCTTGTGTCTTCTCGTCCTGAAACGGTATTTTGGCGCAGACTGCATTGTCGACCTCATCTGCTGTTGTGGCTTTCCAACCACTTTTCGTGATTGAAAGCGTGTGACAATGCGGCAGTGCTTTCTTCTGAAATGCAATGATACTAGCTAGTATGCTTCCGCCTCCCCGAGAACATCTCTCTTAAAAAGATCCTCGCATAGCTTTCTTAGCTTTCCACTGTACACCCTAGCCGGGAGTCGTTTCTATCAGAAGCATTCTGACCTCATGGAAGTTGTTTTCAATTCTTGCTATTGCGGGTTGCAAGTCATCGTCAGAAAATACGTCGGCTTTTCAGAGCGGGCAACAATCGCCATGGCATCTTGATAGGATTGCTGCATCGCTCTGCGGCTTCTGATGTACGATGACACCTCACGGCTTCTTGAAGACCCGTCGTTATCCTCTCTTGCTAAATAATCTTGCTGACCTCTACACGAAGCTCGCAGATTGGCCTGATGGGTTCTGTGATATTTCAAGCGATTCTGCTCGATGTTGACATACGACAATGCCTTGTTGGAATAGCATATAGAATCGGATTGAACTTAATGCAAATCGAAATGGGGTATGAGTATTTCACCTGTAGGCAGGCTGGACTTCTTTTTAAAAAAAAGGGGTATTCGAAACATGCTATGCAGGATATAAATGATCAGCAGGGCGACACGCTTCAAACAAGTCATCACATGATTTACAAGCTCCACCATGTTATTTCACAGACGCGCGCAATTTGAATGCAAGGCTCAAATAAAAAATGGCTTGTTAGCTCAGAAACAAGCATGTGACCTCAAATTTGGACTTTACTTTTAAAAATTATGTAGAAAGTTGTGAAAACTCATGTAACGTAACACACACACAAACACACATACATACATACATACATACATACATACATACATACATACATACATACATACATACATACATACATACATACATACATACATACATACATACATACACATATATACACACACATACATACACACATACATACATACACACATACATACACACATACATACACACACATACATACACACACATACATACACGTACATACACACACATACATACACACATATACATACATACACACACACATACACACACAACACACACAACACACACAACACACACAAATACCCTTGTTATAAGTCATGATTGAAGACAAATCACAAAGTGGGGCAATAGCAGGAGTTGTCTTCCGTTTGGGGAAAATAAATGGGGGGACTTGTTTACGAAAAAAATCAAAAACTTTTATGAACTCAAGAAATAAAAGCTCCAAACGGACTCAGTCTTCCTGACGTCAGGACGGGCACTAATTTGGGAAAAGGCGTCAAGTCACATGAGTTTTCACAACATTCTACATAATACATTTTTAAAAGTATTCTAAGTCCAAATTTGATGTCACATGCCTGCCTTTGAACTAACAAGCCATTTATTATTTGAGCCTTGCATTCAAATTGCGCGCGATCTATAAAGGAACATGCTGGAGCGAGTCAATCATGTGGTAACTTGTTTTTGAAGCGTGTCTTCGTCCAGGTGTTCATTCATAAGCCTACATGGCATGTTTCAAGATGCCAACTTTACTTTTCATCCTAAAGTCCAGCCTGCCTCCAAAACTTCCGTGCGTGTTTAAACTTGAAGGCACACTGTTCCAAACGTGCTTCAAGTTTGCTAAGAGTTCTGTTAGAGGCACTTGTTCGACTTCACAAGAAATGCCAAGCAGGCTCTGTAGTATGCCTTTCTTTCTCTTCAGTACTTCGCAACCGAAGAGGGGTTAGACTTTCAAGGATGTTCATGGAGCACTTTTGAACGTGCAAACCACCTTCATTCAATATTGACAGTGCAGTTCGAAAGCAGAAGAATGCCTTTAACTTCGCTCAATCCCTTTAACAGATGTTGGGGCCGTTTCGTAATCACGTCCCATTGTCTCATGCTTATTACAATCTTATTGGGTCGCTTCAAACCAAAAAGCTTCACTTCAAACGTTTACCTGGCTTGTTGGGAGTTTCATGGCAGATTCAACTTCTATATAAACTTTACATGAAGAGAACCACTTTTTTCAGGATGCTCATTCGATTAAGGCCGAAAGCGTTATTGACAATTCGTTTGTTTGGCGGTCGTCTTATCGCTGTCGTGATTTTCTCAGCTATACTCTACATGCTTGTGATTGCATATGGAAATAAGTCTACGTATTTGTTTCGAAAGCACGAAACTTATGCAAGAAGCGTAACTATTATTATCGTTACACCAACACATAAACGCAGCGGACGTATAGGCGATATGTTAAGGTAAAGGTGTTTTGCACTTATTATGGTTCCACTACAACCTTGAAACTTTTTTGGCCGTATTCATCAATGAATCAGGTAAAATGTACCTCGAGATAGAATATATCCCAATCAGGGACACCGGAACAGCTGGAACAGTTTCAAGCTAGATGTCGTTTTGGGGGAAAAAGCGGGATATCGTTTTTTGCGGGATTCTCGTAGAAGAGCCACAGGTATGCTCCCGAAATGCCGCCGGCATGCGTGCCGCATGCAATCGGCATGCTCAACCCCTATAGTCCAAATAATTATGAAAACTTATGTGAGTGGAAGCCGTGCTGAACTTTTCCGAATTAGCTGGAACCGTTCCAGCTGGGTTCCAACTAAGCTGGGTCCGCCCCTTTGCTCACATAATTCTTCAAAGTTTTTTGCATGTATATAATGCTGAAATCAACTAGAACACAAACCATTACGGGTAGAAGTTGATTGTTTTATTCGCGCAAATACGAATATATATAAGCAAATACCGCGTTATTGAAACGGCCAGGTGTCTTGAGCGAAACAAGACATGGCCACTGTGTCGGCGTGGAGCAAAACTAAACTATTAATCTAGTTATTACTAAATATTAGTCTTACTATGGATCCGTCATACTTTGCCGAAAAGCGTAGAAAACGTACAAAAACCCCCAAAAGCCCCCTTCGCTTTAACTTTTTGGCAAGCGTAAGTTCCATGGACATTGTCAACAGTACAAATAATAGCCAGCGCGACACCTACACGTCTGAAACTTCGATACAACAGCGGCGATGTTGACATCAGAAGCAGCTCAACAAAGTTTCGTTTTCGCAGTTTCTACAGGGTGGGGCAAAAGTCTGGGAGCCTACTTGCAGTGCTGTAAATCAAGAAACTACTGATGATTTTGACTCCAAATTTGTGCCACATGTTGCTGCGATCATCTTTTACAAAACACTTTGGCTGGCTGAAAATGCTTGCTATATGTTTTTGTAGGAGTTGGATTTATCAAAAAGTGCTCTGCAAAACGAGAAAATAGAAATTTTTGGTCTTCACAACTAATTTCGTAACTAGCTATACAGTGGATATTCTAAAGCACTTCGATGCGTATAATGTAGAGGAGACTTCGCGCTATCAATTCTTAGCCGTTGCGTTTGTCAGATACTATTCTTTCAAAAACGCAAAATAAAAATTTGCGAATACCAGCTGCGTGCCAGCAATCATTTTTCTCTAAAATAAATTTTAGAGATATAGGGGCCCAGCAGGCACTAATTCTAGGCTATATTATTTCCATGAGTCTTCTATGCAAGCGTGTACTGGTGTTCGATCGATCAAGCAATTTTAATACTTTTCAGATTACGATTCTTCGCTCCCGTTCGCGCAATCGCATCCATATTTCCAGTATACGAGTACGCAAAGCTTGCTCTATCACATCGCATATTTGCCTGGTGAAATAAGCAGTTATCGTAAAGGCGTGGGACGAATTTCATCACCACTGTCTGCGTGCCACGACAGTCGGACTCGCCAAGATTTCAAAGGGATGCTTTGAAGCCAGAAGAGGCAATCTCAAAATTTGAAAGCAGCGCTGTATTATTAAAGGTTCGATTTATGTGTGCACCAAATTTTTTGCTCCTAGGCACTTTCCTTCTGGTTTTATTTTGAGAGGTACTAGGCTCCCAGACTTTCGCCCACCCTGTATTTACAGAAAGTTCAAAAAAAAACCCACAACGATTATGCATGATACACCAAGCACTTTTGTACTCATAAAGTACAAGCCATTCATAGAATATGACGACGAATCTGTCTGCTTGGCCAGCAGGAGCGAAACACTCATGCAAAAAGTCATTTGCTAAAAAATAATAGATGTACAAAACGATTGAGTTACAACGATAAAGCGTAGGTGGTGAATTTTGAGCCAACCTAGCATAGTTAAATATAGTTTTGATGAACGTGGATAAATGTTGCCACTTCTCAAACCGAAAATGCTTTCTAAACTCGCGTTTTAGAACTAAAGTACGCCTACGCAAAATCTTCTGGCGCTACGCTTTTGCGCGATTTCGTACTTTCTGCACTTATGTGCACAATTGCTTTTCAGGGGGACTTTCTGACCGTTCCCTCCGAAAACAATTGAGTTTATTTGATTTATCATTCCGTGCCTTCATCAATGATGAGATCAAAATGAACCCTACTGCAGCTCAAGTTACCTTGAAGTGCTACCTCAAGGTACTATACACTCAAGGATGGTTTGGTAAACGTCAAAGTTTGTCCCTCAAGATTGACCTTACTACGCCAGATGATGAACACCAATGTTTTTTTAGATTTTGTCCCTTAAGATTAAGCTTACTATGCCAGCGTGATGAACACCGATGCTTTCTTGAACATGACATGACTTTTTTGCAATCATTTGCTTCTTTCATTATTTGCATAATTACGCGAACAACTTCATGTCTTTAGAGTGGGAAGTGTTAGCTGGTAATTTGGAAAGGATATTGTCCACATAATCAACTATTTCAGACTTTAAGACTCTCAAGAAAATCATGTGCTTTTATATATTTGCGATGAAAGGTTTTCTTGGCTATGATACTTTGCCTTCGTGAAGAAAGATATGCTCGTTTAGTCATCGAGCAGTAGGTTCTATGGTTTTAAAAGTATTTTCCACATTTTCGACATGTTTCGAAAAAACTAATTCCATTATCACACATGGTTGGAAACTTTCCGCTTAATTTTTTGATGGGATTAGATTGATGAGAAACTTTGATACGGCTTTAGAATTTAAGAGTCCGCGGGTTATCTACTAAACTATTCTTCAGATTTTTATTCTGTTCCACACTACATAAACATTATTTTCTTGTAATAAATAGCGATGTTTGCGGAAGCTTTTGATGCTTGGATATCAACTCGTGTGGGGGAAGGTTGCGGACTTTTCCTGATTATGAGGATAAAGTTAATAAATGAGAATGAGTACGAAAAACAATGCTGTAACATGGAAGTTTGACAAGTTAATCTTCATCAGGGGAAGTTCGTAACCCACCTGCACAAGAATCAGATTATACGCACTAAAGACAGCTTCTAAGTGAGCGCATGAAGTTGCATGCTGCTCAAAGTTGAATGGGTGAATAGTGGAGGAGTAGAAAATTAGAATGTTTTCTTACTAGATTAGTAAATTTGCCCATCTAATTGTTTGCCCTTTGAGAGCCGAACATCATTCATTGTTGAAATACTGGGCCACATATATTCACATAATACAAGATTTAATGAGTGAAGACTGGAGTCATGCGTAACACTCTTACGAGTTTCAACATCCGTCTTTCTCAAAATCCAAAGCTGGCAAAGTAATGAATCGCAGCCAGCTTCAAAGTTGTGGCTTGAGTATCGCTGCTATGCTCAAAACAGTGTTTGAGAAAATGCGTTCTACCCTAAAATCTCGCAGAAAAGTGCTCCCATCAGATAAGTCCGCCTACAGAAAATCGCCACTGGGGAAGTCCGCTTTTTCGGCAAGGAAAATTGATGAAAATGTTTTCTCGCGCCGCCAAGAATCCTGCAGATAAGTTCGCCAAGTTCGCCTACGATAAGTCCGCCCTCTGATAAGTCCGCTTCGTTTCTCGGATGAAAAGAGAAGGATGCGCAATTGCGCTGCCTCTTTTGGTTTCAAAATGAATCAAAGCAGCAGATCTTTACTCAGTTTCCATTCCATGTGCGGGCAAAAGAATCATCATCGACGACCATCATCATCGCCATTATCAGTAAAAATCAAAGCGTCAAAACTCTCGTTCATCTCATCGATCATTGATTCTTCATCCAGAGCCTTTGTGAAACTGTTCGCATTGACTCTCGTAAACTAGTGCAGCTACCTCGCCGTAGGTCATCCCTTTCCTGACGCCGCCTTTTGTATACCTTGCTCGTGCTGGATCGGCCATCCATTGTTCCGATCCTGCTCTCAGATTTTTTTTAAATGGCATAGATGCAACACCGAGAGGCTGTATGTATTTAGTCATCCCGCCTGGAATAACCGCAATCTTCAAATGTTCCTTGAAAAGCTCTCGAACGCTTTCTGTCAGTTGGCATCTAAAAAAGCAAGATAAGCTCAAGAAATGACACAATACCAAACGGTACCTTGCAGATCCATGATCAGCAATGACTGCGACGGATCATTGCTACAGCGCTCTTGTTCCACACCTTAAAGGCACCGTCCACCCAAATTCTCGACTTCCATGTTTTTGTCGATTCCAGGCCTTCTGAGGGCCCTGATTTCGAATATGGAGTCGAAAATTCGCGAAACACTCAGGAATCCCTGTTTCGAGAACCCTCTGCAGCAAGCGCAGGCGAGATAAAGCATGTATGTGGGCGGGGCGACCCAATCTTATTTTGGGTGGATGGTGACTTTAAAGGCAGTGGACAGGCAACATGGATCCCTGTCAGATTTTGGTAGTTTCGGGTAGTGGACCCCCCAAGTACACCATAGTCCCAACCTCACGCTGCAAATCATGTGCTAAGTTCCGAAAAGAAGCTTCAAACTTCCACCAATAACGCCCACTTAATGAAAGTGGGCGGGGCTGGTGGAGTTTTGAAGCGCTTTTTTCAAGACTTAGCGCATGAATTGGAATGTGGAGTTGGGGCTACGGGTGTACTTGGGGGGTCCACTACCCGAAACTACCAAAATCTGACAGGGGTCCATTTTGCCTGTCCGCTGCCTTTAAGCAGCTAGATTCTCTTAAGATCCTGATTCATCCAAGCTTTGTCATTGGCCCTGACAGTCACTCCAGGAGGAAAAATATCTTTCGGGACCCTCTTCTTCTTAAATATGATCATCGTCAATTTCTCTCCAACGTCCTTCACGGAGATGACAACGGTAATGTTCGATTTTTTATGCCCGGTTGCAATCAGTCTTTATGGCCTTGCATAAACCACATCAAAGGGCACTGGGACTTCGTCGACGTTTCCATGATTATGGTGAGAGATCTGTAGAGACTCCCTTTGCACGTATTTCCTAAAGTTCCTTCAGACTTCTTCATAATCTTTCGGCTGTGGTTGATCGACGCTGGTTCTTTGTCTAACAACTAGTTCTTTCTCTCCATAAATATTTTGCAGCACGACGCCGATGCCTTGAAATCCTGCCGGTCAGATTCCTGCGCTAGCTGCAATGCTTTTGCTCGAATGCCCTTGACAAGCACTGCTCTGCTTGCCTCTCGCCTCTGCATAATCCACGAATAGACAGCTTCATCGATTTCCTCCACTTCCTGCTCCCCAAAACGGTCGGCACGCTTCCTCAGTGACATATCCTTCAGATTTTCTTTATCGGCCTTCCATCTTCGAATCACACGTTCAGAGACTTCGCAATGAACATTTGCAGCGGAAGTTCCATATTCCAAGGGCATACAATACCGCTCATAATTCGTCAAAAAAGTCGCCGAACTGCGGCGCACTCCGCCACACTCCGCCGCACTTTGCCACACTCCGGCGCACTGTGGTGGAGTGTGGCGGAGTGCGCCGCAGTTCGGCGACTTTTTTGACGAATTATGAGCGGTATTGTATTGTACCGCATTAAGCTTGAAAAACGTGGCATAGGAGTTCCCTCTGGTAGCCTTTGAGATCCGAGACACTTTAACAGAGTGAGTCACAGCATGCGAGGCGTAGGGCTCTGCGTGATCATGAACTTTGGTGAGTTTACGGCCATCGCGCATGTGGGATCACGCGGAGTACTATAGTTCTGCGCAGACCATAGAGGTTCGCTCTTTTACAGGAAAAAGTGGGCGGCTTTTGATTTGTCCACATCTCTCTGCCCTTTCTGTCTTCAGCCCTTTTCAACAAACATCTTTCGAAAGGGGATTCCTGGTCCAGAAACAACTATGAGGGAAGCTTACTCTTACTTGACTAGATCGAACCGCACATGCTTACTCATGGCAACTTTGATTAAGCCGCACCGTTTTTTGCAACGAAATATAGACCTTTTTCTGTTTTGCTCGCGAGTACAGGCCTAACAAAATAAATGAGAATCCATGAGAAAACAAAGAAGCCTAATCCTTTGTTAGAGTGGAGCGTTTTTAGAGGATCACTCTTCCGTTCATTAAAGCATATGGCAAAGCCATAGTAGTGGCGTAAGGCAGGAGTGGCTCAGTAGTGGCTCAATCCATGTAAAGAACAAAAGCAAAAAATATCTAGCAGTCAACGTTTTACAGATTCGAGTGATGTATTGTGAACAAGACTGATTCTTAGACAAGACAGAACAAGAACTTTGACGCGATTGACATATGCAAAACAGAACTCACCGCCAGTGTATGTGATGATGATCCCGCGAGGGTAATCTCAACAAGAAGACGGCACCGCGTGTCAACTTCTTAGCCGGTCTCCTTAGGCCTAAGACATACCTCACGCGATTCCAGTCGCTATGCGATCTGACGCTGCTGCGACTCTTCATATCTGTTCGTAAGCGCGTTTTGTATGGGCCAGAATTGATGGGTTTGTTACAACTTATGGAAGCTACACGCCTATGCATTTGAGACCCGCGCACAGTCAATCTGTAGAGATGTGGCGAATCGCCAAGCCGCGTGGATGTAGCGATTTGACGAAATCGCGCGAGGTATGCCTTAGGCCTTAGGCGGCTTTATCTGTATCGCTGAAACGTTTGGTGTATCCAAAACATGTAAGCGGTGCACATGTTATATTTATCCTGCATCAAGAATCTCCCCTGGCCCAGTATTCGCTAGCATGGGGTGAAAACCGACCTAACTGCTCGTGTCATCAAGTTTATTTGTACAAACATGACATATAGGCTGTACCAACCAGCATCGCTTATGCGACGTCGCACCTGTGGCAGCTTGCGACAATGCGGGTGACGCGTGCGAACTCTGCTACGCGCGGGAGCACGTCGCATGCGATCATGGCATACCAGCGCGGAACTGATGCTGGTTGGTACAGTCTATATCTAAGAGAAGAACTCGCCTATTTAGCGTACGCGATGACGATCCGACAGCATTCTCAACTGATGGTATGCAGTGCTTGTCAAAACCTTAGACAATCTCTTTCAGGCGACATCACGGCTTTGTTTAAATCGTTGAAACATGTGATCTATCCAAAACACCTCTGCAGTTTCAACTGAGCCGATTTCATTCTAGCTTATCAATTACTGTTGCGAAACAAACGGAATTGGTGCACCTATCGACGCTTCAATAAAGCTTTGCAAGCGATGCACATGTTATAGTTAGCCTACTTCTAAATTCTCCCCTACCCAGTATTCGCTGGCATGGGCTGAAATCCGAACTTACTACTCGTGTCATCATGTTCTACAGACCACATTGTCATATTTAAAAAAAAGAACTCATCCATCAAGTGTAAGTGATGACGAACCCGCGACGATACTGTCAGCAAGTAGTCTGCACGGATTGTCAAATCCTTGGGCTCTTTCTTTCAGGCGATATCACGGCTTTATTTAAATCTCCACCGGCAAGCTAAGCGGGGGCCGCGCGCGTCTATGCTTCTAGGTCGTGCTTGCTCATTCAAGACAGGCGGACTTATCTGTAGGGCCCCGCATCCCTTTCTCGCTTCTTCTTGTCAAAGAAGCGGACTTATCTGATGGGAGGACGGCTTATCTGCAAGACTTTTGGCGCGCGAGGGCGGATCTTCATCGATTTTCCTTGTCAAGGAGGCGGACTTATCTATAAGATTTTCAGGTACTTCTTCTTGTACTAAAAGATTTCGCAGGAGTTTGTAGACACAGTCCGAAGCGAATGAACGAAGGTTAAATGCTAGTTTTTTTGTATCTCTATAACTCTCGTTAAACTCAGCGAAATTCGACAAAATTGTTACACTAAAGTAAGCTATGTCACGGCGTTGTTCATGCAAAAAATCAATTTTTGAAATCTTATAGATTTCTAGAGGCACCCTTCCAACCCCTCTTTGCTAGGGTCAGAGTTTGCGTTTTAAAAGTAATCTGAGGTAAAGTTTTGATGTTCGATAAATAGAATTTATGGATGTCAAGGCTACTTTGAGGTAAGATTTGTATCAAAATATGCTCCGTTCCCGCTCAATCGTCGCAAGGTGAGAATAACCTTAAGCATTACGTACGCTGATGAATGCCGTAATGAATGATAATCCTACCTGGAGGTAGCATTTACTCTAAGGTATCGATGATGAATACGGCCGTTGGTCTCTTTGAAAACACAATTTCAAGTGTAGAAGGAATTCAAAAAGGTGAAATGAGAGCCGAGATTGGAATATGACAATCTTTTTGCGTTGAAGTCAAATCATGGAAGTAGCTATTTTCGCTTCATTAGCTTACATCTTAGCTACAATTGTTAAAAATTCATGGGCAACGAAAAAATCTCATACAACTTTTGACACAAAACTGTTCCTGTGAGGAAATTCCTTAGTCCCAGATGAAAAACTGCGTGTTTTCGGCTGTCACAGACGTTGAGCCACATCCGGAATCTGCACTGGATTGTTGTAGAAGACGGAGCTTCGACTGTGGAAGTCATTCATCGGTTGCTTTATCGAAGTCGAATTCCACATATTTACTTAGCTACGACGTCCGCGCCGGGAATGCCAAGTAGGTTGCCATATTCAAGTTGAGGTTAACCTCAAGTGAACTTTTTGTTCTGTGAGAATGAATATAGTTTTTCCCCGTGACTCAAATGTGAAAATTTTTTGGAACTTTTTATGGATTTGGACAATAAAGTAGCAGTTCTAACTCAAAATTGTCATGATACAGATTTTATTATAATTATCATGGAAAGTTAGCGGTAGTTTTGAGTACCGTTACTTCAAAAGTTTGAAGCAACGTGGTTAATGTTTTCTAAAGCTCCGAAGATGCTCAGGCAGCAGAAACAGATTCAACAAGCTAACCTCCAAGTCGATCTCAGCATAGTTTTTACGTGTACGTTCGGCATCTCCCAGAAAACACGCCAAGCTTAGCATGTTACTGAATCCTTTCAAGTCACATATCTCACAAGGGGAGCTACCTAACTTAGCTCGACCTTTGGCAAGAGACCTACATATTACATATCATTTTCAAGAGCTGATTAAATATGCTATTTCTAGCTGCCGCGCACCATTCCGAAGCGTGTTATGGGCCTTTTTCTGCCAATATTGGCATACTCATCGACTCACTGGCATCCACAGCATCATCATCTAAGTGCTAATACACTTGCTTTAAGCTTTTTTCAGTGCGAAAAGATTGCATTTGTGTTATTTCGATACCTTAGCACCCTTTCCTTGCCAATTTTCACCTACAGGCAATCTTTCCATGTTCAGTAGTATCCCAATTCTGCATAGGAAAAAGCCCATAACTTGCTTCAAAACAGTGAGCGGCAGCTAGGAATAACATATTTGAAATCGGCTTTTGAAGCTGGTTTAGAACATTATGTCGCTTGCCGCCGAGCTAAGTTAGGCAGCTTTCCTTATCAGTATCGAGCAAGGAAAGTGCAATCTTTCATTACCCACATGGTTCCACCACAATCTCAGCGCAGCTGGAATGTTAGGCTGGTTATTGTTTTGGGGAAAAGCAAAGGTAATATCGTTTGTGGGGTCAAGGAGTCCTGGAAAAATGCAAAAAGATATATCGACATTCCATGTAATGAAAACTTGTGTCATAGTATCTCATATAATTCTTTGGATTCGTTTCAGACATGTGCATTAGTTTCAATAGTAAGAAGTGAGCATGCGGCGGTGTGCTTTAACACAGCGCGAGAGTTCGAATTGTGCTCCAAGGAAACAAAAGCGACCAAAACACCTGATCTGTATAAATAACGCTGGATGTAAAGGCTGCTGCATGACGAAGGCGCAATATCTTGGGCGCGAACGCGGCTTTATTAGCCGCGGAGCGCATAAGGCGCAGGATCTACAACGGTGAAGATACGCGCGCGCCGAGTTCGCGCTCGCTCAAGTGATACTGCTATTGCGCCTTCGTCATGCAGTATTCATGTTCTATGTGAATCGCGTGTCCGTACAAATGTTCCGAATAGAAATTCTTACTTCTGAACCATCCGAGCCAAACTTTGCATACAGACACTTCGCAGTGGGGCGAGTGTCGTGGGCTACTTTTCGTTATCAGGCAATATCGATTTTATCGATTTCCTGCAAAATTTGAGCTACGGGACTGGGAGTTGACATAGAGGGATTAGTGAGCTTCCTTATCATAATGACAGAACCGGGCGCAGCCGAGTTTGCCAGCTAATAACAATAAACTTGGTGTAGATATGCGTGTTACAAGCGAACTATAACTTGAAAACTTACGAAAACTTATTTGAATAAAAACCATGCCCAACTATCTTTCATCTTCCAATTTGGCTGGAACCTTTCTAACTGGGTACCGGCTAAGCTTTACCCGATTTTTTGCTCACGTAATTTTTCACATTTTGCGCAAAAGATGTGTCCTTCTACCACCCCTTATCTATTATATGTTCTTTCTTGTCATACATTTCTGTTCATTTTCAGGCGAAGGTAGGGTAGAGGTGGATGGAGTAGGGAGAGGGGGGGGGAGGGGTTGAAGAAGTGGAAAGTGAGGGAGTTATGGGGGGAAGGAGCAGTGCCGAACAGGTAAGCTTCAGGCTCCGACCATGGAGTAGAAAGTGTTCGGGCATGTTCCAGAGGGTAATAAAAGCTTCTGGATTAGATTATGTAGAAGAGATGTCTTCACCCTCATATCATCTGTTTTAGAGGTGACTACAGCAAGGTAATGACAAACGAGAAATAGCGAGAGGCTTGAAGAGGGCATCGTAAATCAAACCAAAGGCTTCGTCTTCAAATTCCCTGGTTCCAGCTGATCAGGGCTCGGTACGAGGTGGCTAGTCGGAAATGCAAAAAACGAAGTCCCCCTTGACTTCGCCACAAAAGTACGACATCCCCCTTGACACGTTAACGAACAAATCGAAAATGAAAACAAAAAGAATGAAATAGAATAGAAGACCGACAAAAAATAGGCAATAAGAACCGGTGATTGTTTGTATTATCCGGATTGGCGGCATGCTGTGTCCGCCGCGCACCACCGCGAGCTTGGAGCACCTTTGCCGCTGCCATCCAGATGATTTGGAGGGCTATAACTAGGCGAGGAGAGGTTTTGAGGGGTGCAAGAGCTTTTTGTAGAATATTAGATGTAGATTACTTTTATGTAAAAAATTTGAAAAAATTATGTGAAGAATAGGAATTATATGACTTTGTTTGCGCTAAGCCACCTCAGGTGGCTATCCAGGTGGCTTGAAAGCCACCTAACCCCGAAAAAAGTTTGCCATGCCCTTACTTCACATAATTTTTTCGTAACTTTTCTTACATAATCCCAACTCCCCATTGCCCATCTACACACCTATTTTGGTGCCATTTCATCTTCACTTCGTTGTAAACAAACCCTTTGTTTATTTGCTGGCGGCATGCCGGCAGCGTGCCGGCAGCAGATCGAAAGACAGCGTTATGCTCTTCCGCAAAAACGATATCCCCTTTCCTTTTTCCCCCAAAAACGATATCCCGCATGCTTTGCAAGCCACCTGTGCTGAGCCCTGCAGCTGATGTCGAGCCCTGTTCCAGCTCTCCAACCTGTTTTGGATTTGGTCGATATCTTAGTAACAGTTACTGAACATTTTGCACCACTGTGGTATTTCCAAGCAACTTGCATTCATCAATTGTTACGAACTATCGAATCACGTTGTATACTGTTTGGCAAAGACACTTCCACTAACCGGAGAAACCGATCACATCCATTCTACTATCCTACTTTCAGATATATAAGCCGCAGGATATTCTTTTCCAAAGTCTACCAGCCCAAATGCACCGGAGGACTTTGCGAACAAAGAACCCATACCGTTCAGCTCATTGCCTGAGAGAGTTGTGCGGCATAACGATCGCTTTCCGAAACACTTTGTAGCGGCTAAGCAGTTCGCTTAAAAATTCGAAAAAGATGCGGCTTATACACCTAAAAATAGGTAATTGCAACTGTGACATATTAAGACATGATTAAAAGGCCCACTTTTGATTGACAATTGACAATACAGGGAAATGACATCAAATAGATTTTTCAAATGCTATTGATTTTTTCAGTATTGTGAATTACAGGGCGTGGTTGGACACAGCGCAACCTTGCGTTGCAATATATTCGCGAGAACTATAGTCCAGACACCGATGGGGTGCTCTACTTTGCTGATGATGATAATTCGTACGATATTCGATTGTTTGATCAATACATACGAAATGTGAAACGATTGGGAGTTTGGGCTGTAGGCAAGTTCAGAATCTGCTATCTAGTGGTATTCAACTTCCAAAACTAATTTGATAATGTCGATGTAATGCTGAAGTCTCCTTTGTAATTATCACTATCAAACTCCGATCGCTGTTAGCCTAAATGAGAAAGCTTCAATCGAATTTGATTTTCGGTAGGAAATCAGTTGCTTTCTTGTGCTGAAATCTTTTTCAAATCTTGAGCTTGGATCTTATTGAAGGCAGCGTCCGGTCTAGGCTGGGTTTTTACATTTTAGTGTCATGCGTCAGTAAACCCTTAGTGGACTTCTTGCTTTTGCTGGAAGGTTATCATGGCATCGCGCAAGTGCGACACCATAATCTTCGATCAATAACAACAATTATGGTTGGGGAGCTGGGATAATCATGCTCTGGAGAGTAGCCTTTCCCACATGAGAATCTGCTTTGGGGCCGAGTACGCATGCTGCCACAGTTCAAGTCGTAAGGTGCAGTGATTCTGCGTCTAAGCCCTAATGGGAACCATTCCACTTGTCTAAATTCAAATAGTAGGGTTTTGCGAGCATGTTACCACCGTTTTCTCTACTTGATTCATCAGCGTTAGGAACAATCACAAGTAAGCAATCAAAATTTGGCCGGACACTGCCTACAGGCGCAAAAAAGCAGTGGCCGTATTCATCAACGAACCCCGAGGGTTAAACTAACCCTGGAGGGTTAATTTAACTCTAGAAAGCGTTTAACCCGTATTCATGAAACGCAGGGTATGCTTAACCCTGAGGGTTAGATCTAACCTTGAGGGTTAATTTTACCCCGAAAGCAACTAACCCGTATTCATCAACGAATCGTGAGGGTTAAACTAACCCTGGAGGGCTAAACTTACGTGATTCATCAGGGTTAATTTAACCCTAGCTCAGAGCAAGGTTAACTCTACCCTGACACTTCATACAAACATTTACTCGCTTCTAACAGTTTTGTGAAAAACGATCAACGAGTATTGTAGTATTATTGTAGTATTCAGTATTAGATTGTTGTTATAGTATTTAGTTTCGAGTTCGTTTTATGTTCAAATTCGAAGTACATGAAACACTGAGTACGCGAGAAAAAGAATTCTAGCTTTGGTGACAAATGAATGCGAGGAAAAATAGTTGCGCATTACTCTGACAAGTGCCAAAACAGAAGAACCACTTTATGATAACACGCATTGACCCTTAAAAGAGTAGCACAAGCCCGGTATAAAACGAACTGCGCAAAAGCAGAACTTATACCGCAAATTGCACACTTGAGAATAAACTCACGCTGTAAGATTGAATGCTGCACAAATATGCTAGAGATATATTATAAAAACTAGTGTTAGAAGCTTATTCGTTT